TATATATATTCAATTCTTGACAAACAATGAAAGTATGAAGATTAATAAGATGTTGCAAGAAGATTTAGAGTTATCCTATTTCAAAATAAAAAAGTATTCTTTTGGCTTGACTTTGGAGTCGAGTAGAATTAACTTATATATTATGTTAACGAACTTGAATACTTGATACTTGATTATCTTTTACTTTCTTTTTAAGGACTACAGCTAACAATATTCTTAAACTTATTTTTTAATATACTTTTATTTCAGATTTATAAAAAAAAATATATAAAATCATAAATGTGAGAACTTGTTAAAAATAAGGAATAATTTCAATCCATTTAAAATAAATTAGTCATTAATAAGAAATCATGTCTAAAGTTAAAATAAATTGATGTAATATATAAGACGCTACAATTTTCACCATAAATTAATAAAACAACAGGGTACAAATTAAATTGAAGGATGAAACAGCTTTTGAATGAATCCCACGCAATTAATTAATGTTGAATGATGCTAATGCCGTAAGGACCTGAATTTAATTTGGTATTACAATGAACAACACTGTCGGCGATGTGAATAGCACATAATAGGTTGATTGTGAAGTGATGATAGTGAAAGTGCATCAAAGGAACATAACTCTCCACACTTAATTAAAAAGATATTTTATACAATCACCCAAGTCGTCGCAGTTTGTTGGAATAGTATGCATGAAGTTATAATTTTTTTAAAAAATAATTGAGAAGTGATTTACGTTGTTTAAATAAATACAACCTCGGTCAAATGGCGACCGAGCTCGAACCAACTTGGCCTACCAATTTAGCCCGCCAACTTGGCCTGTCCAAGCTTAAATCACAATATCAAGTGATTAATTTAACGGTAATAATGACGGTTATACAAAGAAGGAAAACGGACAATAGCAAGTAAAAATATATACATTTCATTGGACAATCTCAGATAACTAACTTGATCGTCAAGTCCTTTTTACAGTTATATCCGAGACACTTGGAGAAGGGCAACCAATCTCGGCGACCAATCTCGAAGACCAACCTCGAAGACCAATCTCTCATGATCTCTTGTGAGACCAAGATAGAGAAGATGATCAATCTGACTTAAAAGACCGACTTGATTCTGGTAAGAATAATAAGTATTAGGCCATCTCCAGTGGGGTTGCTTATAAGCAACCCTACTTGCCACATTAGCCTCCTTTTTTCCTTTTTTCTTAAGAACCGGTGCTTAAAATTTACAAAAGTTATTTATATAAATAACAGTTCTTAAAAAAAAAGGAAAAAAGGAGACTGATGTGGCAAGTGGGGTCACTGGAGATGGCCTTATAAAAATTAGAGCTATCAAAACGGGTAACCTGGCCCGGCCCACCATGGGTTGGTGGGCTAAACGGGTTGGCTCACCTAATTTGAAAAAATCACCTAATTTAAAAAAATGTAATCAAATTTAATGCCTAATCCTGCAAAAATAGTATGCACATAAGCTTTTCTAGAGAAAAGTAAATAAATTCCTACACTAATTACATAATTTGAAGAAAAAATACATAAAATTGAGAACCTATGATGGTCTATGAAGTTTTATTTGGCCCAACCCAATAGCAGAAGTTTTTTTTTTTTTTTTATGGGCTGGTGGGTCAGCCCGGCTCACCACGGGTTGAACCCGGGTGAGCCGGGTTGTTAGTGGGCCGGGTTTAAAATTGGCCCACACTGAAATTTGCAAATTTTTTTTAGCCCAACCCGGCTCGAACCTATGGTGGGCCGGGTTGGCTCACCGGGCTGAGCCCATTTTGACAGCTCTAATAAAAATTCAATCAAGAGCGTAAAAGATTTTTTTTTCACGCCATATATGTTTGCAAATTAAATTCATTTTCTGTTTCTTTTTTTTACGCCAATTCATTTTTCTTTTATAAGAAATATACTAATAGCACTGTTTTTTGGGTCCACAAAATACTGATAATTGTTTAATGTAGATAAGGCTCAGTTTTTGTCCATGCATTCGAGATGAAGAAAGGTCAAGCCCAAGGCACAAATAAATCCAAGGCCTATGACCCAAGTAATTTCTTTTAAATATTAATCTTTGTTTTTCTTCTTTTTGTATTAGGAGAATGTGAATTTCATGTTTTTCTTCTTTTTTTTTTTTTTTTTTTGTGTGTTTTTGTAAGTTTAAGACTGCTAATTTGTTAGTTTTGAGTGTGTTTGATATGCCATTGTTGATACGTTGTGCATTGTTGTAACGCTCTTTTAAGCATTTTATATGATTGCATATCGTTAGACATTTTCAATGAATGATTTATTGATAAAAAAAAAATTCATTTTTCATTGACAAAAAATACATTTTTAATTAGTATATTTCTTAGAAAAGAAAAACAAATAATTTCAGTCCTTAATAGTTTTTCTTAATATCTCTGAATGTACATCAGGTAGTGGTTATTTTTTGTCCACTGCCAACATGACAAGGCCCAAGATACAAACAAACCCAAGGTCAAGGACCCAATTCATTCAGTTACTGTTAATCACAAAAAGGGTATAAAAAATTTCTGAGTCTGGCATAAGTGGCAATAAATGACAAAGGACAAATGACCTGGACCAAATTTTATCTCACAAAAAGCCCAATAAATATAACCCGAGAGCACAGGCCCCTTTATTTTTCTTCTTTGGTTCATGATATATACACCTCCTTTTTTTTATAAGTACACCTGCTTTATTTTTTTAAAAAAATTATAAAATATTATAATTTTTTTTAATTTTTTTTAATTTTACACCTTCAACTTTCAATTTGCTACTTTTTTTTTTCACACACTTTTTTTTTCTCTTTTAATTTTTACATGCTACCAAAATAGGTGGGTGAAGGAAAGATAAGAGGGTACATGTAAAAATTAAAAAATGGAGGATAGATGTGTGAAAAAAAAAGTACTAAATTAAATGTTGTGGATATAAAATTAAAAAATTAAAAACAAAAAATTAAGAATATTTTAAAAATTTAATTATTTTTTTAAAAAAAGGAGGTGTACTTATAGAAAAAAGGAGGTGTATATATCATGAACCTTCTTCTTTATAACACCATGCCCGTTTCAATAGTGCGCATAAATAAAAATAAAATAGTCACGTATATAAAAAAAATTAAAATTTTGATACAATAATATTACTATAAGTCTTTTTTTTTAATGAATTTTATCTTCATAATATATAATTTTATTGATATATATATATATATTAAAGAATAATAGTTTTGATAACTATGAAACTGTATATAAGTTTTAACCATAAACAAAATGATGCTTCTGAGCAACAGGGTCAACCACATATTTGCATTGATAGTCAAAACATGAAATTTATTGTTAGAATCCTTTCAATATACAATTAGTCTCTACATAAATTATCATCCATTTAAATTAATAGAAACACACATATGTGCCGCATTAAGTGTCATACTAAATGTGCATGTCATAAAACGATTTTTTTTTTTTACTTTTTTTTATCTTAACTCAAGGCTACACGTTCTGGATTGTTGAAGAAGAAACTAAAAACACTTTTCTTGTCCTTTCCTTACCCATTAATACAGACAAACGAAAACTTAATAAGAAGTATGTCCTAAAAGAGAGCATAAAAGAATGAGATTAAGAGTGATTGGTTGTAATGGTGAAATTTCCCATTTTTAACATCATCAATATGTAGTTGGAGTGTTCGTGTAGGATTGGTTAATAATGTTATCTGTAACGGGTGAGGTGTTGGCCAACAAAATTAAGACAAACACATGCTATGGAACGGAAATGGAGAAAAACACTAGGGACAGCATATTACAATTATAATAATAATAATAATAATAAATACTAGTACTTTATCCTATTTGAAACATAAGTAAAAAAAAAAAAAAAAAACTCATTTATCATCTCAAACATAAGCATATATCATCTAATTTTATTTTATCTAATGCTATATTTTAAAATATTTTTCATTTAATTAAAATTCTATTTCGAATGATCCTTTTTATTTTTAATATCAAGTAATTAGAAATGGTAGTTTAGGAAAATAGGTTTCTAAAAAAGGAAAATTAAATGATATTAATTAATTTGCTTAGCATAAATTTAGTTTTTTATATATATATTTTCAAAATTGGAAGAAGTATATCCAAGAATAACGAATAGGACACAAAACAGACAAGAAACATATTATTTGGAGAAAACCTACCTCCAAAATAACTTGCTCACAGCTAAAAGAACATTATGACTTTTAGGAATAAATCAAGTTGAATTTCAAAGAAAACTAGATTTTGCTTCAAATGTAATATAAAAGAGTGAGTGTATACCTTGTTGAAAAACCAGGAGGGAAAGAAATTTAGATATTTTCACATCTATTGTGTTATCATTTATGCTTAAATACAGAAATATTTTTAAAGAAAAATGCATAACTTATATATGATATTATTTTAAAAAAAAATAAACAATGTATATAAAAAATTAACATGAAACTCCTTTGTGTGTAGTTAATTGTGATTATACAAATTGCTACATACATACTATTGACTTAGTTGATTTTTAAGACTCTTCAAATTAAAAGAGATTGACTTTCACCCAAGGTTAGAAATTTTTCTATGAAAAAAGAAAACTCATTTATTAAGTGAATGGCTTTGTAACCACTAAAATCGCCTTAGTAACAGAGTAAATGTTGTATAGACATTAAATTAGTTATTCACTGATCACCATTTTCGTTCCCGTTGCCTTATGGAGTGACCTTATCCGATCACTGTTACAACTTTTAACCTTAATTTATTCATTGCTTTTACATGAGATCTTTATTATGCCTTTATATTCATTAATTCCAAATCCAAGCTTGTCAAATCCATTCTTCCCCGGGTCCAAAATTAAAACCCCACTTCCCCCCATGAACTCCAAATGAAATATAGTGGATGAGCAAGTGCCAAAAATTGTGGTGAGGAAACTAGAATCTTCCACCCAACTTCTATACTCAATTTAGATAATAAAGCAAGTAATATCAGTTATTATTGGAAAAAGTAAACATAAATATTACATAACACATGCATAACAAATCATATATGCATTAAACTAAAATATCAGGATTGATTTTCATATAAACAAAATGAGGTAACTTATTTTATTCTCAACTTATTGAAATAAAATCCCTAAATTCATTTTTCCTAACTTTGCCACAGATTTCCAGGTGATGTTAACTGACAAAACGTACATATTGGCTCGTGGGGCCCACATGGATGGTCATGGATTAGTATTGGTGCTAAAGAAAATCTTATTCAAATGCTGATGATGATATGCTTTAATAGCAACAATGACGGTTGCACCATACCAGAGAAAGATTTAGAAACAAGGTAACAACAGTTTTTGCAATGAAAAGGCCATTGCAACCGACCGCCACTGATTTTCAAATTGTAAACGGTAAAACGTAAATAAAATGATCTACATGGCGAATGAGGGGGCAGTTTCCATTTCATTGTCAAAGCAAGCACGCCCCACCCCTACTACCACATCCCAACCATAGGTAAGCAGTACCTACTTTTATCAGTTTTCTCTTTGCCTTAAAGTACATACCTCTGTCTCTCTCCTTGTGTTGTTGGAAGATGTTTTGTCAAGTATTCTAATCTAACTTCACTTGCTCCATACGTACCATAGAGGACTCCCATGCTACAAAAATGCTTTTTATATGGAATAATAGTTTTCTCAAGTACAGGCCAACTATTTCAAAGTGATTTACTTCACCCTCTTAACGTATCTAAAGAGTGTTTTACTTCGAGGTTCTTGGCAAAGCCACTCTGAGTGTGTAAATAAATTAGCCATCTCTATTCACTTGTATGTTCCTTTTGTTAGAACCTGACATTTCAATTCTTAAACAGATAACATATAGGATAGAGCAGTCAATCATGCCATTTGGTTTGGTCTCAGCGTGGAACAAGCGCCGCAGAAGCAAGTCTCAAGATCATACAGATCCCTGTATTGTCTTTCTTTTCTCTCTTTCTATTCCTTCATGGTTTAAGCATGTACTTTAGTGCTGTTCCAATGCACAACCAACTTGTAACATTTACAAACTGTATATTCAGGGGTTTACAAACCTGCACAGCTTTGGCAACTTGAAGATCAAACACCACGACCTACAAAAAAGCTGCACGGATCATCTGTTTTCACACTGAAGGAGATGGAAGAGGCAACCTGTTCTTTCAGTGATGAGAATCTGCTTGGAAAAGGAGGATTTGGCAAAGTCTACCGGGGCACTTTACGGTCAGGAGAGGTAATACACTGGAAAAAAGTTCATAGCCCACAGGAATTCATCATAGTTCACAAGATTTTGTAACATGGTTTATAGCTTCCATGCAGAAACCCTGCTTTTTATAAACTGGCTAAAAATTAGTAAATTTGATTCAACATACTATATAACAAGTCTCCTTCTGAAGGTCGTAGCAATCAAGAAAATGGAGTTGCCAGCAATTAAAGCAGCAGAGGGGGAACGTGAGTTTCGTGTTGAAGTTGACATCTTGAGCAGACTAGACCACCCAAATCTTGTTTCTTTGATAGGCTACTGTGCTGATGGAAAGCATAGATTCCTAGTATATGAATATATGCGCAATGGGAACCTGCAAGATCATTTGAATGGTTTGTCATGTAACCAAACACTACATTCAAAATTTCTAACATCAAGCTTCTATTAATCAACAACTAATTTTAGGAATTGGAGATAGAAACATGGATTGGCCTCGAAGACTCAAGGTGGCACTAGGAGCTGCAAAAGGGCTTGCTTATCTCCATTCAAGTTCCGATGTTGGAATTCCTATTGTTCATAGGGACTTCAAATCGACCAATATTCTCTTAGATGAGAACTTTGAAGCAAAGGTATAAATAGACTCCCTATAATGACTTAAAACATTTCCTTCTCACAATCATATTACAGAAGAGCTAAAAGCAACATCCTTTTTGTAGATATCTGATTTTGGGCTTGCCAAGTTAATGCCAGAAGGACAGGAGACACATGTGACTGCCAGAGTACTTGGTACCTTTGGCTATTTTGATCCTGAGTATACATCGGTATGCATCAATGCCATACAGTTTTTTAAAATAAAAAAAAAAACAAAAAAAACAAAAACTTCACTTTTCCAACTTTCAACACCTTTAGATAACGTTATTCACTCGTGAAGATAAAAATGAGATTTTACTGCACAATATACAGTAAATTTAACTATTTCTTTAACAATTATTCCTGTGCACATGATGCAAACAGCTTCGCATGTTAAACCTCAAGAATCCACTATAGCTACAAAGTTACGTTACATGCACAACATACCCAAATCTCATGCATATTTATTTAACACATTTGTGAATATGGACATTTTAATCTATAGCAAGATTTATCAAAGGTTGAAGAACACCAATGTTGTATATAATAGTACCTATTTTGTAAGTTTAGGCCACCGTATAGTGAAGCACCCATGCAAATTAAGCCAGCAAATTCAACACCAACTCAAGCAGCAAAAATAGTTCAAACCTTAAAATTTTGGTTTGCATAATAAGCCTAAGGCTGAAAATCCAACTCCAAGTATTTCAGTTTCCCTAAATGGTTCATCAGGTTATTAGTAAATGATTCAGAGAATTTGTTACAGCTAGGAATCCCATATGAGACTTGGTGAGAAGTAATTTGATTTTAACATTTGTCCGGCCATAAAAACAATTTTAGGCCTCTATTTAATAGGTTGTGCTTTCAGAAGTGGTTTCATGGTATCAGGAACTGACTGTTAGATACTGTGGCCTAGAGCTCCACCCTCATCATCCATTAACATGGTCTAGTAACTAACATTCCAGGTATATAGTTCAAGGAAATTTATGCACTCATTGACATTTCTAGCCTAGAGGGCCTTCATGGGTGGTGTTATCAGTTATTAAAATAATTTCCTTGTCCTTGTCTAAATGCTCAAATTCTTATATGACAAACTTTGCTGGAGTTTATTTTTTCTCCTTTTTTTCTTCTCCATAAACCCTAGATTGAATGGAAGATGTATAAGATTAGGGACAATGGTAAATCCTTTTCTAAAATAAAAAATTTAAATGTTCAGCTCACAGCTACAATTGTTTTGATTTTCACATAACATTAAAAAAAGTAATATATGGTACAGGTTTTATATATTACAAGGGAAATCACCAGAAAGAAACATCATTCAATTCAGAAAAGGATAATGATACTCAAACCAAATATTGCTACAAAAAATGATAGCTTTTACATAAATCATTCCCTCCATCGTCTGAGTATGCAGCATAAGAACAAGCATTTTTATTACTCATCATTTGAGTAAAGTTAAATCAAGTGTGTCTTTAGTAAAATGCTATCTTGCAATCTTTCACCTTGTATATTCCTATGTCTAGTAATAGTATCATCAGTGGATTGCTACACATGTTTTTACACAATTATTAATTATTTCATTTGATAACAGACTGGGAAACTCACTCTACAAAGTGATGTTTATGCTTTTGGTGTTGTTCTTTTGGAGCTTTTAACTGGACGTCGAGCTGTAGATCTAAACCAAGGTCCCAATGATCAAAACCTTGTACTACAGGTAGGAAATGCACCCACACACATTGCACACACTGAGGGCATCAATCCATAGGAATGGTAAAAGCAACATATAGGACTGCAAAATTTGCCACTATTTTTTCTTTCATTCAAAATTAAATAAGGGTAGTACCTATTGTAGAAAAAACGGTAGAAATTTCCTTAAGTGGTTTGGTTTGGGAATGTGTAGAAACAATCCGTAGAAAGTCTTGGTAAGGAGAGTAGATAAGATGGAGGAAAGCTGAACAGTGGATGCAGAGGTCAATAGTTTGTCTATAAACATGATTTTCACATAACATTATAGCACTGTTTGATCTATGTAACTGACCTCCCCTAGCAGAAAAAGACTTGGTTGTTGCATTTAAAAATAATTGAGTTTTTTAATGTGAGGGCAAGAAAAATAAATATTAACCATTAGATTTTATAATAACTGGTTAAGATTAAACTACATAAGTCATAAGACTTCAAAAAACTTTTAAGTTTGATCTTCCATGTATACTTGTCTATACTGCTTAGGTTTGCAACTTTCACTCTTATAAACATGACTTTTTCACTAGAAACAGCTATATATATAATGATCAAGATTAAAAAACTAATGATCAAGGTAAAAATATAGTCGTGTGACTTTTAGTTTTAGAAAACTTCTAACATTCACCATCCATGTGACATTGGATTCTCAAAATTAGCTCCCCTTACAATCAGTTAGCACTCTCGCTTGAAATGCCCCCACATACATTCATACAGGCAAACACACATGATGCAAAAGATTCTGGTTTGCATTTTCCAGAATAGTAGATGCATGCAAAAACAACCAAGCATTTTCCTACTAGCTGAGGGATATGATATTTTTACTCTTGTTGAGTAATACACCCTTAGCCTTAGTTCATAGTACAACGAAGAAACAACATGAGCTGTCCTCAACAGAAAGGAACAGGCCACAGAAACAAACTGGGTCACGTGAAGAAGAGAGGGTTACCTGTTACTGCATTTTCTTTCCTTGCTCTTATACTGTACTAGAAAAGGTTACCTCTGAATTTTCTAAGTTAATATCCATCTTTTCTTGTTATGTTATATCAAGCCCAATCCTTGAGAATCACTAGATTCATACAACAGCAAGACTTTAAGTCATTGGCATTCATATGCAGGTCAGGCACATATTGAATGATCGCAAGAAGCTGCGCAAGGTGGTAGATCCAGAGATGGCTCGAAATTCTTACACCATTCAGTCTATAGTCATGTTTGCCAATCTGGCATCAAGATGTGTTCGTACTGAGAGTAATGAGAGACCTTCAATGGCAGAATGTGTAAAAGAACTCCTAATGATTATCTATACAAATTCAAAAGGCTTGGGAATGGTTATGCATAGTTTGAGAATGATCTAGTGAAATCTCAATTTAAGACATCGGAATTATGATGATTTCTTGTTGACAATAAAAAGTGAACTCCAAAAGTTCTTCCATTCATATTTCTATGCCAAGATTAATATGACCCGTACAGAGCATAACAAATTTGGCTGATTTGATGAGATAAATGAGGAACTCAATCCATTATGGACAAGGCAGAAAGAGCATTTCCATTTCTCTTCTCCACCCCCATCCATTTCTCTTCCCCTTTTGGTCACATGACCAAAGTACCTAAGAGGCCATGACAAAAAATAAACCACTTCCCTGGAAAATGTTCCCCAACCTCAGCATTAACATTTTGATTCGGGCATATGATTGGCATGGTTCAACAAATTCCATATGCCACATTCAAATTTCGACAATGATACATAAACCATAGATCATATGTAAAACATTGTTTTGATCATATTGAAGAAATACAAAGTTAATATGATTTGTATTTTTTGTGCATCTGTATTGCTCTCCTAGGTTCTTCAAGAAATAACTAGGTATATGATCATTTTTTTTTTAATCTATCAGAATTACAACAATGGCATTAGGATTTGAATTTTGGACATTGTACTTGTACATACTATCCCCAACCTCCCACCAGGGATGAATGCAGGTTGGTTGAAGTGGGGGCAAATGCCCCCACTAAATTTTTTATGTCAATTATTTTTTTAATATATATTATAATAAAATATATTATTTATCATGTTAAAAACTAAGTATTCCATTGTCTTTTGTGTTTTATGTTGTAAAAAAAAGTTAAAATCAATATATTATTTTTGAAGTATATTTTTCTTTTAAAAAATACATCTGAGTGTAGCTTGCTAACTTAATTTTTCTTAAAAATAAATGGATGTAAGTTATCAAATGTATGTGGGACTTGTTAAAATACATATTCTTTTTAGAAAAAAGTACATTAGCAAGTTATAACTGTAATATTTTTTAAAAATGCACCTAAATGTAACTTGTTAACTTACTCCTTCTTAAATAAAAGACAAGTAATTGTGAATTAGCAAACTTATATGTATATGTGCACGGTATGTCATGTCAATTATAGTTAAGTAAACTTAGTCAAAAGATAATAGTTTATCCAAGTTCATATTATACTTTTTTTGAAAAGACAGTTTTAATGTGAGAAATGAATGATTAAATGATTGTTTTGTTACTTATATAAAGAAAAATAATTTTGAAGATGTTGAAAATGAAAAAATATTTAGTATTTTTAGAATATGAAATTTCGTAGACAACAATTAAAACGTATGTTTTTATTCCAAAAAATGTGAAATTATATGTTTATTATTATCCCCATTCCTGGATCCGTCACTGCCTCCCACCATTGGACCGACCCTAAAGATTGTATCTAGCCTGGTATTTTATCACATGCTACCGACTTTACTATCTTATGTCACTTGGCTTTCAAAGCCAGACAAGGAAATAAAAATTTTCGAAGACCGTATGTTGTAATTTACCTGTAACACACTCAGTATTTGTCCTACAGATCAGAGAAAAAAAAAAGGATGCCTGAAAACACTCTATTCTCCAGTCAAAGTTAAAACCACCATGACCATCTCGCTATCATTGCTGAAACAAAAATTCGACAACTACAAATAAGAAACTTTATGATAGGACATATTGGAGTATAAGATCACGTGGAAGCAACACATAACATGCATTGGTACAAGCTTTTAAGCAACAAGAAGAGACAATGGCAACATTACCTTGACAAAACATTTTGCAACCCTTTACCCGTGTACACATTCAAATTGCATTTAAGCATCAGAAACTGAGGGATCAGGATCAGTTTCAGAAGGCGTAATTAAAGGAGGAAGCTTCTTGCACATCAAGTGCTTGCGTCTCTGCAACATGAGCAGGGCTAAAATACTATCTGTCTTAACAACCTTGTAGTCAGCTTTGGTATACATGTTAAAGGGAGCTTCATCGATAATTCTGCAGTGCAGGTAAACCTCTCTGGAGGCACTCATCTGAGAAATCAATTCCTCACTAGCCTTAAGAAGATGCCAACCAATGCCCCTCCTGAAGGAAATTACCATAAAAAGCATGTTTGTTTAAACTTTACAGTGTGTTGAGAGTATTTTAAGTGAAGGGAAACAATGGCGGTACCTTCTGAGAGACTTGTCAACGGCCATGTTGGAGATGTAGGGGGCGTCGGCGGGAGGGGCGGGGGCGGGAACGGAGGCGTTGGCGCCTGCTTTGTCGAAGGAGAGTTCGACGGTTCCGGCGAAGAGAATTTGGTCATGGGCGGTGAAGAAGGCGAGGAGCGTGGCGGCGTGGGGCATGAGGGTGGCGCGGTGGGTCAAGTAGCGGCTGATGAGGTAGCCGAGGAAGGTGGCGTAGGCGGCGGGGAGGAGGAGGGAGTCGGCGAAGGAGTCGGCGAGGAGGCGGACGGCGAGGTGGATCTGGTGGGGGCGCATGACGCGGACGGAGAGGGAGCCGGAGGAGAGGTCGCGGCAGTAGAGGAAGCTCTCGAGGGCGTGGAGGCGGCGGCGCTCGTCGTCGGAGAGGAAGCGCCCGGTGTGGATGGGGTCGTCGGCGCCGAGCGTGAGGGAGGAGTGGGAGTGGGAGTGGACGGAGGAGGAGCGTTTCAGAGTGGGTTTGGGTAAGGGGAGAAAACGCGACGGTGGAGAGAGGGTAGGGATTTGGGGCTCTGTGGGGAAAGAGAGGGAAAACAAGGTTGACGCTGCTGCGGCCATGGCGCGACACAGAGAGATGAGAAGAGGAAGGAACTACCAAAATAAAATAGCATCTCACTGGATAAAGTGTGTGGAAATGGAAGCCCAGTTTAGCTATGGATATGGACCCCGCCACACCCGAATCCATGGTATATGTATCTCTTATTTGTTATAATACTCTCTAATAATTATTATTCTTAATTGTACCCCTCATTTTAATATGACCGTATAAACTCATGATTTAATTTTATTTTTAGTATCTCAAATTTAAGGTAAATTTATGTTTGATTTCTCAAATTTAATTATTATTTTTAGTCATATAATTTTCAAAAAATTTATTTTAATGTTTATATTTAAATTTTGCTAAAAAAATCTATTAAACATTATAGCATAAAATCTATTTGGTGATATTTTTATTAGTGAAAATATTACATTAAACACAACTAATATACTATATAATTATCTCAATTTATCACTTTTAAACATGTAATTGATGAGTTGAGAGACTAGAATAAAATTTTTAAAAATTACAAAAATTAAAAATAATGATTTTAAATTTGAGTAATTAAAAACAAATATTCACCAAATGTGAAGAATTACAAACATATTTAAACCTAAATTTATTTACTAAAGTGTAAAAATGTATTCTTTTAAGTTTCAGGCATTAAAAATCAAATAGTCTTTTAAGTTTCAGGTATTAAAAATGTATTCTTTTAAAAGAAGATTTTCAAGTTAAACTAAATTGCGCGATGTATGGCCCAAATTCCATCGATTACAGCATATCATAGCCTCGCATTAAAAGCGAATTGACAAAGTGATGCACATCTACGAATTTATTTATTTTAAAAAAAATATTGGAAAAAATTTATATCCCAAACCCATAACGTAATGTGGGATCTATTATTTTATGTCATCGTTTAGCTGTATGACCCAATTGACGTGGCCAGCTGAGACCAGTTTTTGAACCAATCAACCTGTTTTAACCTTAGATAGCAACCAACCCTGAAATGAAAATCAAATTCAAGGTGCAAGCAATAAAACGAATGATCCATACCATAGTTTTAAAAACCGGACCGGTCATCGAACCGGTTAAGGTACTGGGTTAGTGAGTCAAAGGTTGAACCGGTGGGTCACTAGTTGAACCGCATGACTCAGTTTTTATTTATTTATATTAAAAAATATTCATATTAAATATATTTTATACTTATAAATTTTAATAAATTCATATTTTATTTTAAATTTTAATTTTTCTATCTTATAAAAAATTATTTTTATTTTTATTTTATAAAAAAATACATAAAAAATTATATGTTGAACGGTATATTAATACAAATTAAAAATATAAATAATATTTACATATATAATATGCTTGCAATTAATATCACAAAATAATATATGTAATATTTACATAAATATTATATTATTAAATATATAATTTAAAATTAATAATATACTATAAAAGTTATTTAAGTTGTATATATTGCAAACAAATATATTAGAACAAGTAGTCATTGTTATATTTAATAAGACTCCTTGCTTTTAAAAGTGGTTGAACTGGTTTGACCCACCGGTTCACCGGTTGAACCGGAAAATTATCCGGTTCAATCCGGTTTGAAACGGGTCAACTGCATAACCGATCCAACTTAAGATTCGAACCGGCTGGACCACCGGTTCCCGGTCCAACCGGCCGGGTCGGTCCGGGTTTTAAAACACTAATCCATACATCAAACCACAAAAAAAATTGAATTCAATGTAGACGACATAGACAAGGGTTGGAGGGTTAGACATGGTTAAGATATGGTTGGGACATGACATGAGGGACAGGCATAGTAGGGATACGGTTGTATTTGTTACTTGAATGAATATGTTGTGTCTCCGCACAAACAAGGAATAACACTAACAGATACCAAGTCTAAAAGTCACAGTATATGGGTGATGATAGCATGCAGCACCTATTTAATATGCCCAATATTATAGAATTCAAAGAAAGAGATGAGTTCCATAAAAAGAATAAAAAAAATTGATACGTACGCTAGCAATTTAAAATAATTTTATGCTCACAAATCACTATTTATAATAAGTTGTTCACTTTTAAAATAAATTTATAAGCAATTGTATCGGTAATACATTAAACACCCATAAAAATGCCATTGTATTAATTAATATAGAGTTAAATTTTTTTCTTCTTTTGATTTACCCATAATCGATTTTAGTCCTCTAAATTTATATAATACATATTTTAATTTTTTTAAACACTATTTACTTTGCTATTAAAATACATCATTTCAACACTCATCATCATTAAATTTTACCGGCATGAAACTTTTAAATTTAAAATAATAATTATATTATGATCAAGTTAAGTTTTAAGGCAAAAATTAATTTTATACTTAAAATTTTTCACTATTCACACTCATGCCTAAGCATGAAAGTTCTAGAAGTATTCTAAAAGTGTTCTATTTTGCTTTTTATATTTTCCATTTTGCTTTCACCCTTGATGGATGAAGCCAAGGACCATTGGGAATTTGAAATTTAGAGTTATCAGCAACAACATGAAACTAAACATTTATAGGCACCATGATGGCAATAGAGAGAAAAAAAAACTTGCTTTGAATTTATGAGAAAATTTTATTAGAGTTTGGTGAGAAACTTTTTGTTCAAAGAAAAAGGAAATGACTGAAATCTTCATACTTGAGTCCAAGAGTAAATAGTAAAAATTTTAAATATAAAATTAATTTTTATTTTAAAACTTAATCCAAAAATAAATAATATTTTAAATTAAAAAAAATTGTGTATGTAAAATTAATGGTTATTTAGATGTTAAAGTAATCTATATTAACAACAAAAGTTAATAGTATTTAAAAAAATGATTAAAAATATGTATTATATAAATTTGAAAGACTAAAAATCAAGAAAAATATATTTGAGAGACTAAAATCAAATATTTATTTATTTATAAGTGTGCAATTGAAACTTATCAATCTCAACTAACTAACCAGCTGAGATGATTATTGTCAACTAACATAACTATAACAATCAATAAGAATAGTCATGTACTCTATGGATAAGAAATAGTGAAATACTGATATATTTTCCACATATTCGTACAAACATTTATTAACATGCACGTAACACTTAAGCACTTAATAAGAAATATGATGTACAATGAGACAATGTTCAACTATTAAAATGCACGTAAATTTTAACTAATAATAACTAAATATACAAGAAATTAATAATGTCTTAAATGATGTATTAACATCGTTCTATTTCTCTCATTATATTTCCCAACAGTAACGAGTGTCAATTAAATGTGGTTAGGTGGAACGTCTCTGCAATACCGCATTGATAGAATCATCAATAAGACTTTCTATCGTCATATCTAAAAGAAATCAATTGCACCGAAAAAGATAAGTTGGTTTCCAAATAGACTTTTTCTGTTTGCCAGAATTTTCAACGCGTTTAAACTGCTTACAATTCCAAATGTACTTGCTGAACATTTTGTAAAAAACTAAGAAAACAACAAAATGGGTCAAATCAAATTAACATGAGAGAAATTAAAGTAGAAGGAACTTTCTCAATTGAAATACCCCACTAGACAAAACTGATGGATACCAAACAGTGTAAGACAGAAAAGACTTGGCCATGTGTTATGAAATTCCTCCACAAATTCACATCTAGACCCTTTTGTGCCTCGTATGTTCCATGTCTAAATGGCCAAGGTCACATTTAAACCATTACACACATTTCCAATAATTTGTCACTCCATTTTCCTTCATCGATAGAAGATGTAGTATTTTATATATTTCCTTTTTTCATTATGGAGCCCAAGCAAGAAAATCAATAACCATTGCTAGTCTACCTGACTCCAACAATACTGGCTCTCATGAAGGATACTTGTGGTCTATACCAAAAAAAATGAAAAAGAAAACCAATAACCAATAGTTCCCCTATTAAATTCTCTTCACACCCTCCCACCGCTTCAAAAAAAATTGTTCTCCATTCTACCAAATCAAAATTTGACCCTTTTCAAAGCAATATCCATCACCCAAGTGATGGAAAACATCAAAGTATAACAAATAAGAATCTAACAAGACATGATAAATACCTCACTCTTCAGTTCTAGGGTGTTCCCTCCACTTCTTCATGAGCTCCAGAAAAATCTCATTCCATGTGTCTATAGGCCCCGGCAAGCACCAATGAACACAATCATTCTGCACACGCTCTTGATGCCCATTAGCAAATGGAAAAGGATACATATAAGGACCTGGGTGGCCATCAGGTCTCAACAATGCCAATTTGGTCACATCCAATGCCTCCAACCTTAACCCTCCAAAGTCATTAGCTTTTGCCTTTGCAGCTTCCACTTCTTCAATCTCAATCTTTCTCATATCAGCATCCATCCCTTCAAGTTGCTTCTCCCCATTTCTATAAGGCTTAGTCTTTGGACAAGCACCTGCCTTATCCCACTCACCTTCAAAATGAGCAGGTGAAAATGTCGTCACAATTACATCAATTCCATTGCCCTTACCCGCTCTCCTATCAATTATGCTATTAAGGGTAGTCCTTAGGGCCTTTCTCAACACATCATAAAAACCAATCTCAGTGTGATTAAGACCAGGACAGTAATGACACCCTAAAACCGAATCATCCTCATAGTACACTGCAGGATGCAAAAACCAATGCCCAATTGACAACACAATCAAGTCCATTTGATCCATATCCCTTCCCCACCTCTCATCAATATGATCCAAATACAACTTATTATGATTTGGCCCTGTATTTGACTTCTCAACACCTTGCACAAGAAATGGGGACCAATACACTGAGACACTCACATTGTGAGAAGGAAAGTGCCACTTGCGAAATTTGTTGTCCTCACCATTTCGGTAGACAAGGTTAGGGGTTGAAGCAGTGGATAACATACAAAGAAGGGACTCTAATTGGTTCCTAGCCATAGAGTCCCCAACAAAAGCTACATGCTTGTTGTTAACAAGTTGGAGAAAAGTGTGAGGCTCAAACCTTGGAAGACGGCATTGACTTGGTTTCCATCTCCAGTAAAGGTAGCCAGAGTCAGGCCTGCCATGTGTTATGCAATTCTGGCCTTCTTTGATTGTGCCACAAGTGGTACCATTGTACAAAGGGCCTCTCTTATCACGGATCCATTTGCCATCAAAGTAGTCACATGGGGGCTCATAAGTTCTTTCCTTTTCTGCCAATAGAGAACAACATGCAAGTCTAGTGAACCAACTAATCTACATGCCTACATCCCAAGTTCTTAACTACAATTTAAGACAAAACTAGCATCAACTCAGTATCCGATAAACTTCTTCAAAAAAAAAAAAATCTCTATAAGCTAAAAGTAGCTGCTAATTTATGCATAAAGTAAAAATAAATTTTTTTAAAAATTAGAAACAATAAATTAGTTTCTGCATAATTTACTAAGAAACTTATTTCATTTACACTTTGTTACCCAAAAATGTTTTCTGAGTAGTTTCCTTAAACAACCCACAGTACAAAATAAAATTATATGCACACAAGTACCTGAAGAAGGTGGTGTAGAAGCAGAAAGTGAAGAGTGAGATATGATGGTGATGGGGGTGGAGTGGGGAAGCTCGGTTTCAGGTGATGGAGGGAAGGGTAGAGGGTAGAAGTATAAGCGAAGTAGAGCTATGGGAAGAAGAGCATAAAGGGTCCAAGGAAGAAGTCTCTTGGTGAGGGAAAGGGATTGATCTTTGAAAGGGTTTGTGATTCCCATTTTCAAAGCCTTTCCCTTCTTGAGTTGTGGTTCCCTTTCTCTTTCTGGTGTTCTCAGCTGAGATGAGGTCTCAAGAAAAAAACAATATTGTTTTGGTTTTGCATCTGTCAGATGAAAGTTGGGACTTGGGAGGTGTATAGACACAGATGCATGTTCCTTGGACTATTTATTTGGTTGAATAAAGAACATATAGTTGGATCTCCATGATCTCTTTAATTTACAAAACTAATTATCATAAGTTCTGTCTTGGATTCTAATAGCTATAGAATATTGCTATTCCAATCTTGTCCTTATTCCTTCTTATCGTAATGTAACTGGAGAAAAAACAAAGGTGATTTTGACTCTGGATGTACTGTAGGTAAATCATATATAAACACCACCGTTATATAAACACACAATTTATTAGTATGACAAATTAAATTTGTTCACTCAATCGATTATTATTTATACTATCAATTATTATGTATAAGACTAAATTACATAGTTCATCGAAATTTAAAAAATAATTAATTTAATTAATAATAATAAATTTATTTTATTAATATTTTTTTAAAAAACATCTTTATATTATTTTATATGAGATATTTTATATTTATATTTTGTAATAATATAATTGTGAAAAACAGTATGATTTAATTTTATTCATAAAATTTTTTATATTTAAAAAAATTGAAATAGAAGAATCAAATTATTATATTATCATATTCTAAAAATAAAGAAATAAATTTTAATTTAATGAACGTATAAAATATCATCTATATTACTTTAAAACTAATGATTTTTAATAATTCTTTCTCATTTAAACTTTAGAGATATCTATTTTATTGAGTTTTTTTTTTTTAAGTTCTCATGTGATTTATATAACTTATATGTTTTTCTTCAATTTCATGGACTTTCTCCATCAAAGATAAAGATAAGTGAGAAAATTTGTGAAAATTTGTTTCAATTTTCATCTTCAAATATTATAAGAACTTTGAGTCTAGATACAAGTGATATGATATTTTGCATTTGTATTTTGTAAAAGTATATTTGTCAAGAGGATGATTATCTAGTCTTATTCATAAGCTCTCTTTATATAGAAAGAAAATTTGTGATACAATAATTAAATATTAAGATTATTTTATTTTAAAAATAGAAAAAAAAATCTAAAATAATTAAAATAAATTAAATTTAAATATTTAAAACATAAATAAAATATTCTTATCAAATTAATTTATTCTCTTAAAAATTTTGAGACACATTCTCAACACTTTCTTTTTTAATTATTATTCATATATCTTCTAACAGACTAAAGTATATGTCTTATATTATTTCTTTTTCCTAATTATACTCATCCTTTTCATAAACTATTAGAGTGCGTATTTTTAAAGAGATTATAATTAATACATTTTACTAAATTTAGAAAATATTCTTTAATTAATAATATTTTAGTATAAAATTAATTAATATATGAGATAAAGTGATTTAAATATTATATAAAAAATAAGTAATTATTTTAAGTTGAGTTTATAAGATTGATGTTTAGGCACTAGAAGAACTTGCATCTTCTCCATGGCTTTTGTTTATGCTTTTTTTTAAGCAGGTTATTCCCGTAGGAAGGTGAAAGCTCATGAATCATGATAAGCCTATGTTAGTCTTTTGTGTTTTGACCGTTCATAAGAGAATATAAAATGTAGCCGGTGCATACACGTGTAAGGACACAATCGTCTACACAGGGAGAACTTTACTTGAGACCATGCTCAAGTGGTCCTACTAAAAAAAGGACGCATACTTTTTTTTTTCTTTTTCATTTTTCTGTAAAAAGTAAAAATTAATTATTTTTAAATTATTGTTTAATTTTAATAAAATTTAACATAAATATATAAGGTGAAATAAAATTACAATTCAATATAAAATTATTAAATAATATAATAATTAATAAAAGTTATATTATCGTCATTTATTTTTTACACACAATTTTATACATTCAATAAATATATAAATATATATTTAATATAATATTATACTTAAAATTATGTATATTAAATTTCATATGATTTAAGTTTTTCTATATATATATATATTTTAAATATTTATACATATTCTAAATTTTATATTATATGTTAAAATAAAAATAATTTAATGTATTATTAAATAATTTTAGAATTGCATAAAATTTGACATAAATAATATTAAATATAATATCACATAATTTAACAATTAAATCAATAAAATTTGTGAATTTAATTTATGTATTAAAATTTTTAATTTAATAATTAAATAATTAAAATTTTATAGCATCATCGTATCAGGCACGCTATACATTGATCATTTTAATAATTTAATGTGGCGATCACCTTAAAGTCAGCTAACCCATATCGAGATCTGCTCTGTTGCTTGCTTACATATATACTTTCCATCACTCTACCCAAAAATAAAAAAATTAAAAAAAAATCTATATATTGAGCTCTACCCAAAAAATTTATTTCTTAGCATGAATATATTTTCCATTTCTATGATTTAAATATAAAAAATGACACTATATCCTAATCATATCCAATTATTTTTATTTTTTAAGAGTTAATTACTTACATATTATTAATGTAAAGTTTTTTTTATATTAAGAATCAATTATATCTTTTAATTGTGTTATGTTATTATAAATATACTTATTTTTAATAATGGCATGACATAATTAAAATATATAATTAGTTGTTAGTGTAAAAAAATTTTATACCGGTAGTATATAATAATTAATTATTTTTTTAATGCATATGCATTTCATACATACACTCAAAAACATTTTCCTATATTTCTTTGAGCGTCAACTTTTGACACTTGCGGGTTTATATAAAACGAGAACAAATTATTAGTTTCAACGAAAATTTATAAGATCATATATGGTTTACATTTAGAAAGATTCCTAAGTTCAAACATGCAGCTATCAAACTCAGAAGTTCCGTCGAGCAAGTTTCACCAGATGAATCAATTTCATTTATATATTAATCTATAAATTAGCTAGTATCCGAAACTTATTACATTATATTCAAGAAATATATTAATCTTTAAAATCATGAATCTCAGTTAATTTATTTTTTGAAACTATAAAAATTTAATATTTTAATCGTTAAAATATTACACGACAAGTATTTTTAAAATTTAATATTATTAAATATAATGACATCAAAGGTCATTAATATAAATAATTTGACATTTATACTTTTAACCAATGATCAATAACATGAAATTGTGATCGGAGACATCACATTTATTTACTCTTATAGTGGTCAACTTAATATAAAAAAGTTAAACCTCTTTATTAAAAAAATATTATTGAATGACAATTATTTCAAAATACTATATTGATCTAATAATGATAATGAGTTAGGATAAATTCATGTGAATTTATATTCAATTTTTGTTGACATTGTTAAGGAATAACATATATTACTTCGATTAAAATGTACATTTTACGACCGTTCTAAATTTCATGTCAATACCACTAATGTAAAATGAGAACACTTTTTTATTTACATTAGTTATAATATAAATGATGTATGAAGAATGAAAGATGCATTTTCTACCATGCTCAAGTGGGTATAGTAAGAGATTGTTCTTCTGCAAGGTAAAATTGGACAATCTTGACCATTATGATGTTGTTTCTTTCTTCCACGCTACTGCCAAAATGTCCATTCTTAAAGCCTTCCTCCTCTACTTATGTTTTGCAAAAATGGTGAGAAATGGAGAAAACATGTTGAAGTTGTTGTCAAAAAGTCCATAACAAGAGTTGCCTAATGATGATGATTATATTCAGTTCGATATCAGACTCGTGAAAAAAAATTTGTTAGATTATTATTTGGAGTCTGTTAACGTTGCTAAAAAAGATTTGTGAAGAAGAATAAAAATAAAAGTATACAAAGTCAAATGAAATTTTAGAAATGATTTAAAAAACCTTTTTACATTTGTTATATATTGAAGTGGTATAAAAGAGGACATTCTATATAAGTTCTTTAGTAATCAATTTAAAAAAGTTGTCAAATTTTTTTAACAAAGTTGTAAAACAAAATTAATTATGCTATTAAGTTTTTTTATTACATTAATTATTAAATAAACGATAAAAAATTTGGATATAAAATATTATTTTTGTGCTAATAATGAAAGTTATTTCAATTTTTAAAAATTATAAAAACATTAAAATAAAAAAATGTTTAATAAATTTTAAGAATTAAAGTGATGGTTTTGTAATTTTATATATTAAATTAATCAATATTTATATTCATATTCATATTATTTATTTCTAAATAGATGATGTAAAATATAACTTAATTATAATTTATTATAAATTAAAACTACCTTATGTATAAATTAAATATAATTTTTTTAAAAAATAATATAATTTTTTATAATCGAATCATATAAACTCATTTTAAGTGTATAAAAAATATCTATTTTTTTCTTAATTTTTAAATATTAATAAAAAAACATTAAACATACTCATATTACTAAAATTCATAATCGAGTGAACTGTGACATCAAATAAATGAATCAAAATTGAAAATAAAATTGGGACAAAGATAAACACAATTTTTAATTTTTTAGATAAAATTGGTACAACGATAAACTCGTGCGAGTCCAGTGTGACTCTCTGTGTCTCCCTCTCTCTCGACTTTACGTCATCTGACAAGTGATAAGGAAAACACCGTTTTTTCTTCCGTATTTGTCAGACACGTAGCTAAATTATTTATGAACAGAGGTATTTCGATAATTATTAACTTCAAATACTTTATTAATACTTGTATTTTCTTTTCACCAAAAAAAAAAACTTATCTCATATATTCTCTTTATTTATCTTTTTATTATAATATTATTCGTATTTTCCCTTTATTTCTTACTTCTTATACATCACATTTCTTATTATTTATGAACCTTCGTCTACCAGCTTTAATTTTTTCCAAAGTTTATTTATGACATGCAGTACCGAGACGAAGAAGTTTCTCTATCAGGATTTCGATTTATTGTATCCTCGTTCTTTTCAATAAAAAATACAAAATAGAACGATTCAGTAGAGGGTCCACACTTTGAGGATAAATAAAAATAATTCATGTGCATTCACTGATCTAAGTTTATACCCCGGTTGATGAAAATCCTCTCGGCCCACACAACCACATCACACCATAAAAGAACACAGTATGAATATAAAATAAAGCATGAAAGGATAAGCAAGAAGGAATGATTTGAAAATGAGAGGTACAAACTCATTCAAAGATCAATCACTCATCATGACCCTTCTTCCCTCAACACTCCATGTTTTACTTCCTATACTTCTGCTAGTGCTACCTATAGTTCTGCTTTGTTTATACTTCTACCCTTTGCCTCTTACTCCATCTCCACCACCTGATCTTCCTCATTTCAACTCTCTTTCTTCCTCTCCTATTCCTCCTCCTTCTCAAGGTATATATATATTCATGTATTGTCTTGTTTTGTTAAAACAATACTATTGCAAGTGGATCTTGAACTAGTAGTGTGATGCACTTGGTTTAAGTGTCTGATTTAAAAACTCTTTTAAACTTGTTTTCAAACATGAAATAAGTCTTTTATTATGATACTTTATTGAGTTCATTCTTGTTTTCTAATATTGGCAGATAAGGACTATGCTTATGATCCACCATGTGACTTCTTTAATGGAAAATGGGTCCGTGACAAGAGAGGCCCTTTGTATAATGGTACTACCTGTGCCACGATCAAGGAGAGCCAGAATTGTATCATCAATGGGAGGCATGACTCTAGCTACCTTCACTGGAGATGGAAACCAAGTCAGTGCCATCTTCCAAGGTTTGAACCCAACACTTTTCTTAAACTCATTAGCAACAAGCATGTAGCTTTTGTTGGGGACTCTCTGGCTAGGAACCAAATAGAGTCCCTTCTTTGCTTGCTAGCCACTGTTTCAACACCAAAACGTGTCCACCACAAAGGTTCCAATAAGTGGCACTTTTCATCTCACAATGCAAGCTTGTCCTTCTATTGGTCCCCGTTTCTTGTGCAAGGAGTTCAAAGATCAACATCAAACACAGGACCACATCATAATATAATTCATTTGGATCGTGTTAATGAGAAGTGGGCAAGGGATGTGGGTCAAATGGACTTACTTGTGATATCATTTGGGAATTGGTTTTTGGTTCCTTCAGTTTACTTTGAGGGTGATAAGGTTATAGGCTGCCTAAACTGTCATGGTCTTAATTACACTGACATTGGTTTTTATGGTCCACTAAGAAAGGCTTTAAGGATTACTCTTGATAGCATAATTGAGAGGAAAGTGGGTAAAGGAAATGGCATAGATGTAATTGTGAGAACATTCTCACCTTCCCATTTTGAAGGTGATTGGGATAAGGGTGGTACTTGTTCAAAGACTAAACCTTATAGAAAGAGGGAGATGCAACTTGGAGAAGTGGATGCTGAGATTAGAAGGATTGAGATGGAAGAAGTGGAAAATGGTAAGGCCAAAGCATTTGAGGGGTTAAGGTTGGAGGCATTGGATGTGACCAAATTAGCATGGTTGAGGCCAGATGGACATCCTGGTGCTTACATGAATCCTTTTCCATTTGCTAAAGGGGTTCCAAAGATTGTGCACAATGATTGTGTTCATTGGTGCTTGCCAGGACCTATAGACACATGGAATGAGATTTTTCTAGAGATGATGAAAAAGTGGGAGAAACAGCCAAGAAGCCAAGAGTGACCAATTAATTCCTCTTGTTAATTAATTACACTAATAATTTTTCACTACAGTTATATTCTGTTTAGAGGAGCTAACGAATACTTTTTTTTTTAAGTTGAAATTCATGAAAACCTCACCTATATTTAGAAATGACATCTACAACTTCTGTGAATCATGCTAAAATATCAAATATTTGATTATTTGACACACTATAGTCTTAAGAATGAAAGGCAGAGTAGGTGTAAGTGTTTTCTTCTGTTTTAGAGTGTCTGATATATAACAACTTTTAGTCTGTTAACTAATATTATTGTTCAATCATTTAAAATATGAATTTGTATTGTAAGCCTATGTATCCAATGACGGGCCAAACACAAACAACTGAATATACCCACTTATCTGATTATGTGAACGTATGGAATGATCTGTATACACGATAATATAATACATGTTATTCGTTATTTATTTATCTGTCATTAACCAATGTAAAATAATAGGAAAAAATGTTCACTTCTTTTGTTCTATCACATGTATTCCCAATCTATAATAATAACAAATATTAGTTCTATTCACGGTATGACTAAGTCTAAAGAAATTTTACATACAATGGAGATTGAATTTGAGATTGTCACAATGCAAAATGTTTAACTATTATGTCAATTGATCGACTTTTTGTATATTTAAATAAGTGTAGATAGCAAAATTAATGTGCGACTTTCCATAATTAAATACGTTTTTTTTTTAATTTGTTTATCCATTTTAAAAACTTATTATTTACTCTATATTTTTTTTGTATCACCATTCTTTTAATTTTATTTATTTATTTATTTTTACTCTGTACTCCTTCTAAATATCACAAGTTCCTCATTTGATTTTTTTTATATTATAATATTTAAACTAAATTACATTTTTAATCTCTATTTTATCTATAAAAGTATTAAAAAGAGATGAAAATATGGTAAAAATAGATACCAAAATGTTATTCAAATTAAACATGATCAAATATTAACTTTTACGTCATCTACTTATAATCAATTCATAATCAACATTAAAAACTTTAACATTTATTTTTCATTGGAAACAAATTCTAATTGAGTCAATTATGATCATTATGAACGAGAAAGATTTATCTTTAAATATTTAACATGACTATATACTAAAACTCAAATGTGACATTATCGGTTAAATTAGAATAATCTGTATCAGTTAATTTATATGTTTGTCGATATAAAATTAGAGATTTTTTTTGTTTGTTCCTGGAGTATCCATCGCCGATAGCAGTGACCAATCTCCTCGCTACGTTGAAAGCACCTCAAAGAGTGGGATAATTGGTCCCAAAATTTAACGTGACTGCATACACAAAACATGATTCGAATCTCTGACCTTGCTTAAACTAACACTAACTACAAATTAGAAAAAAATTAAAAATTAAAAATTATAAAATACCTAAAATGTAATTTAGCTAAAATTACAAGATTTCTTTTGAAACCACTAAAATTACAATATTTTGAAATTAACATAAATTTAAATTAATTGTTTATGATGGTAAGAAAAAAAATGAAAATAGTGCCCCCATATGAGACACTTCTGACCTGTGAGAGAGAGATGTTGAAATAATCATAACAATGGACATTTGCCCTACAAAATAATTAATACACAGTCACAAAGTTCACACAGATCTGTACTGTGGTGTGAGTCCTCCCCGCTAGTCTTGGCACTATCATTGGTGTCACACGTGGTGCAGCCTCATTGCTTCCGTAGCAATAGCATTAATATAAGGTAACGAATAAACAGTAGAAATAAAAATAATAAAAAATAGGATGAAAGTAAAATAAAAGAAAATTAGATATATAATAATAAGCAATAAAGTAAAATATGCTTATGTTTTCAACCCATCATCCCTACCATCTTGATAAATATCTCTTGCCAGTTTGCCTTCTCAATGGCTCATACATTGCCCATTCTAGTGAGAAGTGCCTCAACCGCATTAAATAAACTAGTTTTTTATTTTAAAAATTAAAAAATTATCATCTATGAATCACATTCATATGGTAACATAAAAACAATAAATAAATAAAAAAACATGTAAAAGATGAGAACACTAATTTTAATATGAAATTAGCTGTAATAAAATAAAATGAGATTAATGGTGAACAAGAGAGCCTGGTATCAGTAATGAATAAATAAATAATATGAGACTAAGGAATAAAAAATATACTGTATAGTATTTAAAAATCATATTATTTTTTAATATTAATTCAACCATAATCCAACCAATAAATTCGACACACCATTCAACAAAAAAAAAAAAAAAATATATATATATATATATATATATATGTGTGAATTGTAAAACATTGGAAATTGCACAGTAATTGATTGAAATGAAAGTTGATTTGAATCAATTATTTCATTCAACCAAATGTATTTTTAATTAAAATTAATTTTTTTTATATTAATTAAAATTACTTTTTTATGGTTTATTTTTATTTCTTAATAATTTAATATTAAAAAATATACATCTACTGCTACAATATCCAACTATACGCAGAGAGCCATCAGCAAATGCTAAATATTCGATATACAAGTGTTCTTTATCACTTCTTTGAAGATTTCCTCTGTCGGATCTTCAAATTTAAACGGTAATGTTAGACATCAATCACTGTCCATAAGTACTGCTTAGATAATCAAACATTGAGATAAACAGAGGTTTAGATGTAAGCATGATTCACTACCCTCAACTTGCATTTTAGCCATAATTTATGTTAGATGTATTATTATTACATTGCATGTTAATATTCTCAACTCTTCTAAACATGAAAAGCAAATCGATAGGGAGAGATGGAGAGTATCCATCAAACTTTAAGCATCAGAGATCAGAGTTTTTAGTTGTGTGGAATCACAAAAGAAAAAATAGTTGCAGCATAATGTTAGTAAACATTTCCTTCATTATGTAAGAGAAGAACCTAAGCAGAACAAATAAAACCATCCATTCCTCAATTAGAATTGCTCTTTTCCAAGTCAATTTCCAACACCTAGAGACAAAAATTAAAATATAATCAGTTAACAAGATATGAGAAACATCTCAGTCTTCACTCCTTGGCTGACTTTCCCAGTTCTTAATCATCTCTAGAAAAATCTCATTCCATGTGTCAATAGGCCCTGGCAAGCACCAATGAACACAATCATTCTGCACACGTTCTACATTCCCATTAACAAGTGGAGAAGGATTCATATAAGGACCCGGATGACCATCAGGTCTCAACAATGCCAATTTGGTCACATCCAATGCCTCCAATCTCAACCTTCCAAATTCATTAGCTTTTGCCTTGGCATCATCCACTTCTTCTATCTCAATCTTTCTCATCTCAGCATCCATCCCTTCAAGTTTCTTCTCCTCATTTCTATAAGGCTCAGTCTTTGGACAAGCACCAGCCTTGTCCCATTCACCTTCAAAATGATGTGGTGTAAATGTTGTTACAATTATATCAATTCCTTTGCCTTTACCCTTTCTCCTATCAACTATGCTATTAAGGGTAGTCCTTAGGGCCTTTCTCAACACATCATAAAACCCAATCTCAGTGTGATTAAGACCAGGACAATAATGACACCCTATAACTGAATCCCCCTCATGGAAAACTGCTGGAATCAAAAGCCAATGCCCAAATGACAACACAATCAAGTCCATTTGGTCCATATCCTTAGCCCACCCCTCATCAACATGATCCAAGTAGAGCTTATTATTCGGGTCTGTGCTTGATTTTTCAATGCCATGCACAAGAAAAGGTGACCAATACAAGGAAATGCTTGCATTGTGTGAAGGAAAGTGCCACCGGCTGAACTGGTTGTCCTTGCCCTTTTTGTAGTTGTACACTAGGTTAGGAGTTGAAGCAGTGGCTAACATGCAAAGAAGGGACTCTAGTTGGTTCCTAGCCATAGAGTCTCCAACAAAAGCTATGTGCTTGTTGTTAATAAGTTGGAGAAAAGTTTGAGGCTCAAACCTTGGAAGATTGCACTCTTTGGGCTTCCATCTCCAGTGGAGATAGCCCAAGTCAGGCCTACCATGGGTGATGCAATTTCTGCCTTTTTTGATCGTACCACATGTTGTATCATTGTACAAAGGGCCCCTACTATCACTCACCCATTCACCATTGGAATAGTCACATTTTGTCTCATTAGTTTTTCCATTTTCTGCAATCAACAACAATTAATTCTTGTAAACCCAACAAATCACACATTAATGGTGTGTTTTTGGTCCATGTAAATTTATCAATTATTCGGTTTCATTCCTTACATCTAAACTTCCATTTTATTGTCTCTACATCTTTTAAATACTCAAACTTTCACCCCTCAGATAACATACCGTACAAATTAAACCTAGAGATGAAAGTATGAGTATATAAAAAAGGAGAAAATTTAGCTACCGATGCTCAGTGCTTGATGTTATTTTTCAACTAATTATTAATTTATTATGCAGTTGTATGGATTCCAGATTTTATTTATAAATATTATCAAAATAAAACTTTAATTATGATAGGAGAATAACACGATCACATAAAACACTTAAATTCTGTCCTTTAAAAATGCAACAACAAAAAATGAAAATTTTATAAATTAAGACAAAATCAAATAATGTTCAATTTTACAAAGATCAAAAACAGTTAAAACACCACTAATCATAATGTTAAGAAGAAGAAATTGTGCATGCTTATATATACCTGCAGAAGAAGGGGGAGAAGCAGAAACTGAAAGAGAAGAGTGGTAGGTGATCTTGTTGTTGGTGGGATGTGAAAGATCAGTTTTTGGAAATGGAGAAAAGGGTAGAGGGTAAAACAATAAACGAACCAGAGCTATGGGAAACAAGGCACAGATAGTCCATGGAAGAAGTGTCCTGGTGAGAGAGAAGGATTTGTCTTTGAATGAGTCAGTAGATACCATTTCCAAAGCCTTCCTTCTTGCTTATGATTCCCTTTTTTGCGTTCTTTTTCCCTCCTTATGTGTTCTCAACTGAGAAGAAAGATGAAAAACACTGTATGTGTTGTTTTTTTGCATTGATCATGTGAAGTGACACAGAAGCAGGTTTCCCTGGCTATTCGCAGTAGTAATAGAAACACGTGTAAAGATCTCTATGATCTCTCCAACTTACTAACGAGTTATAGAAGTTGTCTTTGGTTTTAACTGTCATAGGTAATTGCTTTTCCAATTTTGTCCTGATTCCTTGTTATTGTTATATTTGTATTTTTTCAAGTTGATTGCACATGTTAAGTATGACTTATTAGAATATGACATGTAGAAGAAAATATTGAATACTGAAGTTGTTAACCTACTTTGAAGACTTTATGAATTTGGAACTATCTACAATAATGCAAGAAACTGAAGGAAGCACTCACTTTAGTGATTCACCACAGAAGCACTCTGTTTATATTATCTATAAATATATAAGCACGATGTTAGACCTTTTTAATATAGAAATGATATTCTGACTTTATATTTTTTCATGTCTGAATCTTGTTCAACAAAAGCTCAATTCTTTTTCAAAAAAAAAAAAAAAATAATTTACCAAAGTGAAATTCCTTTTGTACAATATTTTTATATTTTCTTGAAATTAAAAAAGAAACAAGAAGAGAAAGAGAAATATATAATAAAATAAGATAAATAAATGAAAGAGAGATAAAATCATATATTATAAAATAACATTATACAGGTGTCTGTAAATTATATAACTCTTTACTGCTTACCGTAGTTACTATAGCGCATTTAGAGTAAATTTGACAAATATTTTCAGTCAGTTTATTTAAATTTTGACTTTTTTTTACTGGTTAAATAGCTTGTTTACCTAGATTAGTAATATTTGGGCATTGCCACAAAAAAGATTAGAAATATTTGGTGAACAAGCTTTTTTTTAAGCTTGAAACCTTTTTGTTAGACACTACCATTTTTTTTTTTTAGATTCTAACTTCTAGATTTTTATATTTTATTCTATTTTTATCCATAAAATATATATTAGATTTACTTTTTACCTTATTTACATAAAGAATAGTTATTTTGTATGCATTCACTACCCTTGACAACTGGTTCTGACAATAAATATTTCGTAATAGTATCATAATTAAAAAAAATCAACATATAATACATTGAGAAGCATGTTATTTCAATAATATAATAATACATTGAGACACATGTTGGTTTCTGGTGTAGTCCTTTGTGATATTATAATGTTAAGTGGAAAATTATTATTGATCTTTCTAACAATATTGTCAAGGATAATTTAGATATATATAGAATTGTCAATTTGGGTTCGATTTGATGGACTGGCTTGGCCAACCTACAAATAAGACCAAGTTAGGCCTTAAAAAGGATGACCTATATAGAATCGAACCATTTTGGCCCTGCTTGCTAAGTTTGACAGGCCAAATGGGCTTAGACCAGGTTGACACACAGACTTGCGGATTGACCTATGTATTAAACTAATAAGTGAAATAATTTGAACTACTATCATTGTCAATTTGTAAATTTGTAATGTATTATAAAATAATAAAATAAAATATAATAATAGTAACAATCTTTACTCTTTTGTGTTTGCTTACATAGTTGTGATAACAAGTTTAGAGTTAGGGTTAACTATTATAAGAGTTTCTCTGCTCCCATTGTGTCTTTGATGACTTGATCTTATGATCAATCATCTTTATTCCATTTGTTGAAGAAGACAAAGACCCATGACTTGTTGCTTTATAACTCATTGTGAAAACTGTGAATTGAATGAGTAAACTTGTTTCATTTTGAATATTGCAATTATTAATGTTGATGATATTTTTTATAACATGGAGGATGATTTAGATACAATGGAAACTCTACCTAACACAGAGAGAGCCTATTGTTGCTACTAATCTTTTTGTTATTACTATTGGTAATAAAAAGTAGGATTATTAATAACCAAGACCAAGATACTGAAAAGACTACAAAAATTAAGCATAATACCTCTGAGGTATGGAATTATTATGAAAATGTTAGTTTAGTTGATAGGGTGAATAAATACAAATGCAATGATTATGAGATATTGTATATATGTAAAGTTATTTCAAGTACTAATTATTTAAGACGTCATATTATTAAATATACTAAATGTCCTAAATACCAAAATGTTGGGGTCATGTTGGATAACAAAGCTAATTTATTTAAGTTGTGCAAATTTGATCATAAGGCTTATATAGAGTTGTACTTGCTAGGTTTATTATCATGTATGATCTTTCATATAATTATGTTGAATTTGAAGGAGTTTGGATAGTGAATAAAGTGTCAAATCTTGATTTTAAATACTCTAGGGATGAACCAAAAAAAAAAATCTTGATTTTAAAGCTAATTGTAGAAATACTTCAACAATTGATTGCAATAATTTTTTTAAGTAAATAGGAAAAGCTAAAAAAATATGTTGACTATTATTCTAGGTATAATATCTTTGACTTATGATGTATGGACATCTGTAACTATCTAAGGCTATATGATTGTGACTACTCATCTTTAAGTAGTATACAATATCAAGTAATCTTGTTATAATTTTTGTTTTTTTTTTCTCATTATATTTTTTAAAAAAAATTTAATGTATCTTTTTTAATTAGGCTAGGTTGGACCAACAAATGGTAACTTGAAAAGAATATAAATCAGGTCAATTTAACCTAAAATAACATTTGGTCTATGTAGACCGCTGGATTGTGCCAATCATTTGACACCTCTAGGTAGTTGGAATCAATTAACAAGAAAAAAAAATGAATATTCTCGTCAATTGTTCATATAAAATGTATTGGTTCATATTTTTCTTTCTGTCTTGATGAAATTTTAGTCAGTTACTCTATTCATTTGTGTTGCCACTTTTTGTTCATAAACACATATATTACCTATCATGGTTGTGGGGTAAGTGGACGCAACCTGATTTGAGTGAACAAAAAGTAGATAAGTTGAAACCTATAATTTTGTCAAAAAAGATGTTCATTGAAAGTTGTATGCAGAAAGAGGAGAAATCTTTTCTAGGGAGATTCCAAGCTAGAGTGGTGTAATTATTTTGAATGTAATTATTAACATTCTTTTTTATTTTTTTATCCTAATACAGGGATAAAAATGCAGGTAAATATTTTAAATCACATGTCAATTTTATATTAGCAAGACACTAATTGAGACACAAATAAAAAAATAAGTGATTTGAATTCGACAGTAATATTATTGTTATCTTTATAATCTTTCCAATGGATAAAAAAAATAATGTTAAGTGATTCACAAGTTTTCTGCCTTTTGATTTTAAATTTATTTTAGACTTAAAAATTATTTTGTTTAAAATAAGGAATTAAAAAATAGAATAAGTTGTTTGGTAAATATTATTTTAATTTTTTGGCTAAAAACCTAATTTGGTCCCTTATAATCTTTTAATGTAAGCTGCATCCTTGGCCGAGAGAGATCTCAGGAGGGAAGACTTGTAAAAATTCTGAAAAATTGACACTTATGTGGAATGGGTCTTCATTAATGAATTGATGCCTCATTAAAAACCTTGCCGACCAAAAACCCCTTTTCACGTTTTTATAAGAGGGAAAAAGATCAGTCAAGGAAAAGAGTGCATCGCGATACATATACATTGTTTAGGCATTACAAAGTTGAATTTAACTATAGTATGTCTTCAGATGGGCAGAGTTCCAAGTTCTCGGAATGACCTTGCCGGACAGTTCCTCCAACTTGTATGCTCCATTGTGGAGTGCATGCCGTACCCGGAAAGGGCCGTCCCAGTTGGCTGAGAGCTTTCCTTTAGAGGAATTGCGTCTTGCCGACCCGGTTTCTCTCCATACGAGATCCCCTGCATGAAATGTCCTTGGCTTTAAGTTGGAATTAAAGCGTCGGCTCATTCGTTGCTTGCACGCTTCGGCCACAACCTGTGTCTTCTCTCGCACTTCGTCTAGAACATCGAGCTCGGCTCGGAGTGAATTGTCGTTAGACTCTTCATGGAAGTGCTGCCGCCGGAATGATGGTTCCCCAACCTCAACCGGGATCATCGCATCCGCGCCGTATGTTAGGCGAAAAGGAGTCTCCCTGGTGGTTGACTGTGGTGTGCATCGGTATGCCCAAAGGACTTCCGATAATTCCTCGGCCCATGCTCCTTTTGTCGAACCTAACCTCTTCTTCAATTCTATCAGTATGACCTTGTTGGCCGCTTCGACCTGCCCGTTTGACTGAGGATGCTCGACTGATGTGAACTAGTGCCGAATGCCAAGGTTTTCAATGAAAGAGTTGAACTTTTTGTCCGTGAACTGAAGGCCGTTGTCCGAAACAAGGGCGTACGGGATGCCAAAACGGGTAACCATGTCCTAGTCGCGGTGGATTACTTCACGAAGTGGATAGAAGCCGAACCGCTCGCCTGCATCTCCACTGCCAACGTCCAGAAGTTCGTCTGGAAGAACATGGTTACCCGTTTTGGCATCCCGTACGCCCTTGTTTCGGACAACGGCCTTCAGTTCACGGACAAAAAGTTCAACTCTTTCATTGAAAACCTTGGCATTCGGCACTAGTTCACATCAGTCGAGCATCCTCAGTCAAACGGGCAGGTCGAAGCGGCCAACAAGGTCATACTGATAGAATTGAAGAAGAGGTTAGGTTCGACAAAAGGAGCATGGGCCGAGGAATTATCGGAAGTCCTTTGGGCATACCGATGCACACCACAGTCAACCACCAGGGAGACTCCTTTTCGCCTAACATACGGCGCGGATGCGATGATCCCGGTTGAGGTTGGGGAACCATCATTCCGGCGGCAGCACTTCCATGAAGAGTCTAACGACAATTCACTCCGAGCCGAGCTCGATGTTCTAGACGAAGTGCGAGAGAAGACACAGGTTGTGGCCGAAGCGTGCAAGCAACGAATGAGCCGACGCTTTAATTCCAACTTAAAGCCAAGGACATTTCATGCAGGGGATCTCGTACCAAAAACCCCTTTTCACGTTTTTATAAGGGGGAAAAAGATCAGTCAAGGAAAAGAGTGCATCGTGATACATATACATTGTTTAGGCATTACAAAGTTGAATTTAACTATAGTATGTCTTCAGATGGGCAGAGTTCCAAGTTCTCGGAATGACCTTGCCGGACAGTTCCTCCAACTTGTATGCTCCATTGTGGAGTGCATGCCGTACCCGGAAAGGGCCGTCCCAGTTGGCTGAGAGCTTTCCTTTAGAGGAATTGCGTCTTTTAAGTTAAAAGTTATTTGGTAAAAAAATTTAAATTAATCATCTCACTCAATAAAAAAAATATATTAATAAAAATAAAAATAGTATGTAAAATTAATTTTATCAACATATTTTTTAGTGATAAAAAAATATATAAAAGTATTAAAATGCATATTTTTAATTTTTTAATTTAAAACGAAACAAAAAACTCATATGGAGGACCACAATTGTATTTATCCTTGTTTTTAAATATAAATAAATCATATTATTTTATATACAATAAATAGAATCACATAAACCAAAAATTTTACTTTACAAATTTTACATGTATCATTGAATAAAAATATAATAAATAAAAAGTTCAAATGTAATAACATTACAATTTTTTTATTGGTATGAAAAATATTAAATTGAATTTTGAAAAAGCAGACTTTTTTTTTATATCTTTTAGTGTTTATATTATTACTAAAGACAATAAGTCTTTTTATGCATATTTTTTATGGAATATTTTACCTATAGAATTATTTAAAACTATTTGCACTTATTATTAATCATTGTTTAATATTTAACTTCAATTATTTTTATTTTTTTAAATAAAATATACAAAAGTACAAACTACTTTTTGTACATTAATTAATAATAAAAAGAAGGTTAAAATATATAGATTTTTAGTCTCGATAATTTTGTTTACTTTATCTTTTAGTTCTTATAGTTTAAAATAATTATTTTTAATCCTTATGTTTATCTTTTTCAATACTTTTTTTTTATCTTTATTGATGGAGAACCATTCTTGAAGATCATAGGACCTTTGACAAGGTTTATAATTAGAAGGTTAGAAGAAGTTACTAGAGAGGATGTGTTTTTTAGACCTTTGCTTATCATGAACATAAAGTATATGTTCTTCTCATATATAGTTGTTTAGTCTCTTATTCTATATACTTTGTATAGCTTGGTTTCCATTCCTCTATATATAGTAGTTAAGTCTATAAGTTATATTTAGGGGTGTATGTTTCTTTGTTTTTAGATCATGCCTTTAGGATTTAGAGGCACTTTCTTTTTTGAAATGTATAATTCATTTGACCTTGTATTCATGGTCAACATATTTTAGTTTCTTTGAGTTTAGTAGTTGGAGTGGAAGTATCTATTCTAGTGATGTGACAATAACCATTTAAGGTAGTGTGAAAGTAGTAAAGGTGTGAAAATAATCAAAAGTAATATTGGGCTTATTTTTCTTCTTTCAACCCAAGGAATTGATTTGGCTAGGTTCAACTTTCATTTGGTTAACCAAAGCAAATCAATTCTCTAATTTTTGATTTGGCCAAAACAAGTCATGGCCACCATAATGATTGTCCATTTTGGCTAGTTCTTAACCTTGGAACTACCTCTCCAACCATCTAGAGACAAGAGGACACTTGACACTTGCTTATTAGATCTAATTATCTCTTACATGTCTCAAACATGTCCACTTGGCTTGTTTGTGATTGGTGAAATTAGATCTAAGTGTCTACTTCTTGTCTCTTAGATATTTAGCTTCCTTTCCAAGTTACTTATGTATAGGAGTTTTGACCAATTTTGTAGACATTTTGAGTTTTATATTGATTTGGCCACTTATGTATAGGAGTTTTGACCAATTTTGTAGACATTTTGAGTTTTATATTGATTTTGCCGAGTTTTTCTCTCCCAAATTCTCTCTCTCAAAACTTTTTTCTCTTTTTGAAAATTTTCCTTTTTTTTATCCTCTCCTAAGTATGATGAGAAATTGAAGAGACTTATTATTCTTTAAGAGTGTGACGTCATCAAAGAGACTTTCTACATCATCTTATGTGGTGAAAGTGGCTTCTAGCATTAATGGAAGTCAACATTCAAGAAGCTTGAAAGAGAAGTTACATCAATCTTGTTTCTCCTAGAGTTTTCATCACCTATAGTACTAGTCTAAGATAGAACGTTTTTTATTCCTATATACTTGGAAATTTATTAATCTTTTTAGTTTCTATCGTCAATTTTTTTTGTAATGTTGTCTTATTTGTATTGACATGATAAATGTCTTTAATTTTGTGAAGGTAAAAAAAGAGTATCTCAACAATAAACGTCATAGGTGAGGATACAAAAGAGATACATAATATTAAGAAATCTAATTTAGAGAAATTTAGCAAAATAAATTTAACGACATACAAAATTGACACAAAAAAGATAATATTACAAAAAAAAAATTAATAATGACATAGATTAAAAAAATTAAAAAATTAAAATATAGAGACTAAAAAATTTTATCTTAAATTATATGAACTAAAATGGATTGAAAAATAAATATAGACTAAAAATATTTATGTTAAAATATAAGAAAAAAAGTAAAATAAATGAAATTATAAAAATTAAAATAATATTTTAACCTAAAGAGAATACCACCTTTTCGTGTCCATAATTTGTTTCCAACTTCACTCTTTAATTAACTATCCTAAAAATAAGTGTACACTAAAAAAAAATCTACTCATCATTTAAAAAAGAAGAGAAAAAAAAACTGTTTCTGCATCTTTTCCTACCAGCATTAAATAATACACCAAAAATACTCTCATGCAATACATAACATGAGTGGCTGAAGAATTGGTGCAATGAAGTAACAAGGTAAGAGGAATGCCTCACTCTTCACTCCTTGGCTGATCAAGACCACCTTTTCACCATCTCTAGAAAAATGTCATTCCATGTGTCTATAGGTCCTGGCAAACACCAATGAACACAATCATTCTGCACATTCTCTGGAACCCCATTTGCAAATGGGAAAGGATTCATATAAGCACCAGGATGCCCGTCTGGTCTCAACAATGCTAATTCTGTTACATCAAGTGCCTCCAACCTAAACCCTCTTAGTTGTTTGGCTCTTGACATAGCAAAATTTTCCACTTCTTCCATCTCAATCTTTCTGATTTCTGCATCCACTTCTCCAAGTTGCATCTTCCCCTTTCTATAGGGTTTAGTCTTTGAACAAGTACCACCCTTATCCCAATCACCTTCAAAATGAGAAGGAGAGAATGTTCTCACAATTACATGGATGTCATTTCCTTTACCTTGTATCCTCTCAATTATGCTATTAAGAGTAGTCCTTAAAGCCTTTCTGAAAGGACCATAAAAACCAATATCAGTGTAATTAAGACCAGTACAGTTTAAGCAACCTATAACCTTATCACCCTCGTAGTAAACTGAAGGAACCAAAAGCCAATTACCAAATGATAGCACAAGTAAGTCCATTTGGTCCACCTCCTTAGCCCACTTCTCATTAACAAGATCCAAATGTATTATATTATGAGGTGGACCTGTGCTTGATCTTTGAACACCTTGCACAAGAAATGGGGACCAATAGAAGGACAAACTTGCATTTTGAGAAGAAAAGTGCCACTTATTGGAACCTTTGTGATGGACACGTTTTGGTGTTGAAACAGTGGCTAGCATGCAAAGAAGGGACTCTATTTGGTTCCTAGCTAGAGAGTCTCCAACAAAAGCTACATGCCTGTTCTTAGTGAGTTGGAGAAAAATGTTTGGTTCAAACCTTGGAAGATGACAATCACTTGGTTTCCATCTCCAGTAAAGGTAGCTGGTGTCATTCCTCCCATTGATGATACAATTCTGGCTTTCTTTGATCATAGCACAGGTAGTACCATTATACAAAGGGCCTCTCTTATCACGGACCCATTTGCCATTGGAGTAGTCACATGGCTTCTCATAAACTGCCAATGAAAAAATAACAACTTACGTCTAGTAAACCATGGGTTCAGGCATAGAAGATGAATTTGGAAAAATTATTGTTTAGTCTGAACTCTGAACCAACACATGTTTGCAGTCCTAATTAATTTGCAATTCTCTAAGTAACATGTAGCAGATTTTGAAAGGACAAAACTTAGTTATAAAGTATTATAGATACTGTTTGTTTTTTCTGTTCACTAATTAGAAATTAGAATTGAAATTTCATTTCCGTAATACATATTAATATTTAATTAACTTTTTTTATAACGAATATTAGTGAGATGAAATTTCAATTTTGATGGAAGAACAACACTAATAATATCTATAATACAGTTTTATCATTTTGAAAACTTGACTGTGTTACTTAAAAATTGGCCTAGACAACAATACCGGTAAATGGTAATGATATTCAGTTTTAACTTTTAATAAGAAATTATGCAGCATATACATACCTGGAGACGTAGAAGCAGAAATTGAAGAGCGGGGTTGGTGACAGAGTTGAAAAGGGGAAGGTCATTTGCTGGAGATGATGTGAAGTAGAGAGCGTAAAAGCAAAAGCAAATTAGAGCGAAAGGTGGGAGAACATAGAAAAGAGAAGGAAGAAATTTGGAGGTAAGAGAGAGGGTTATATCATTGGATTTGGATGTGTTTGAACTTGTCATCTTATTACAAGACAATCTCTTGTGTATCTGATTCCTTCGTTTTTGCTCCTAACGTCCCTTCGTGTATAACAGGTACGTCGAACAATCTGCTACAGACATGAATGTCACCAGAGTAAGTGTGAACGAAATTATTACCAGTGCTCACTCTTGAGAAATATATGTTTTAATTTGATGTAAAAATATGATTACGTAATTAAATTATGTACTAAAAATAATCCAACTATCTTATATGGTTATTTTTTTAATTATTATTTTGATTATCTTTTATATATATATATACATAAGTACTAATTATCTGAAGTTAATATAAAAAAAAACACTATAGAAATATTAAAAATCTGAAAAAGTCAATTTTTTTTACCAGAATTAAAAAAAGACAACCATATATGCAAAAAACTTAAAACATGTTTAAGTCAAATGTCAAATATATGAGTATCTAAAATATTAAATAAGTTATTAAATTTAATTATTTATAACATTATTTTGGATTAGAATATTTTTACTTTAGTTATATATATATATA